ATATTTAAAAAATACCACTATTATAACATGGGAGCTAAAATAACAGGACAGTTCAACATCTGCTCAAAACTACATATTTCTCTTTTATGGAAGTGTTTCATTATCGATTGACAACCTCATTTTTGCAAAATCAAAATAAATATAAATAAATGTGTGTTTACATCTCAACACAGGCAAATCTCAATATATAGTTCAACTGCCATTCAACAAGTGAGGTCACGGTATATGCATTAATAAATTTAACCGCATAGATCGCTAACACAACATACAATTACATTTTAGTTCCAGGTTTTCTAGGTCGTTACAAAGAAGGAATAGATCCAAACAGAATATTCCCACCATCGTCAAAGATGTACACTTTTGGAAACTCTATTACCACAATTCAAGGATGCATCCAGACATGTAGAGACAACTCTAAACCAATAGCTGTACTTGCCAGTGCAGATGAATGTTACTGTGGTGATGACGACATTGATTACCAGCAATATGGTGAAGCTGTGCCTGGTGAGATGATCAACGAATATGTATTCTATGGTACTCAACAATGTAGTGGAGATACTGGTACTGAACCTTACATACAAGGATGTGGTGGAGATTACCAATTAGATGTCTATGATAGTAAGTTTATTTTTGAATGAACACCAATGGAAATAAATTCAATTTATTATTTGGGTACTTAGTTAAGTCCGAAATTCCTCAAGGTTTTTGTTCACAAATGTGTAGACAATGTATGTGTTGCCATTTAATGCAAGATATGTTAATTATGAGGTAAATGTTCAACAAATGTTTAAACTCTCTTTAATTATCAACTTCACTTATGTCACTCTGGGTTATTCAAATTAGAGTATTCGAAATATATTTCCTTGCGTAAAAATGTTATATTATTACTAACATATAATTCGGTACAACTGTAACCCCTCCATTGTTTATTTGTTGACATGTAGGACTGACAGTCCATCGTACTTGTACAATGTTTTTTAGAGTAGCGGCTCACACAGTTACTTGATTTTAATTCATATCACATTTCTTTCGTTTAAAATTAAAATTAAAATCCATCTTTTTGTTTAGTTATGAGTTATACATATGAATTGTACGAATTTCTTTTTGGCTACTTAACGCCTGAAAATTATTGTAATATTAAATGTATGTCAACATCAATCCCTTTACAGCTACTATCGGTGCATGTGGAGGGCAGTTCACTGGTCATAGTGGTTATATATATTCCCCAAACTTCCCTGGCAAGTATCCACGTGACCAGAATTGTATATGGACGATTACAGTTGAAGACAACCATATAATTCAGATTAGTATATTGATGTATAAGATAAGTACAGGTGATTACCTTGATATAAGAGATGGTGATGACGTAACTGCACCAAAAATTACGTGGGACAGCATGAATGTGTACAGTACTGGATATGTAGTGTGGTTACAATTTTATTCAAATTCAGAAACGAACACAGATTTGGGATTTGCGTTGACATACAAAGGTAAATCATTTTGACCATGTTTGTTTTCAATCACTTGAAATGCAAATGAAAATAAGTTCCATTCCTGTATTCTCGCCTGTTATCCTTTCTGCAAATTTAACCCAATCGATAATCGCAATAGCTAGGGATTGTTGATAAATACTAATGTTCTGCAAGGCTGAGTCATAACAATGACAGGATTAAACTGATTATTTTACCGGAGAGCGTATCATATTACAATTTCAATGTTTGCAAGTCCGGAATGAATTCATTTTAATGTTAACTGAAACCATGTATGAAACATTTACATGAAATATGTATTGCAATAATGTTTGTTTGTTAATGTTTTGTTGAATGTTAGTTATTATTCAAATAACAGCATTTAAAATTGAAGTGTGTACGTCGGTCAACAAACTGCCATGTGGAAACGCAATTATTAAAATAGCAATGAACTGTCACGTATACCACTCGATAATACTAATAATAAACAATACAGTGGAAATAGTTTTGATAAATTCAATGAATGTATATAATCTTCGACCTTATTATACAACTATATAAAGTGTCCCCTTTTTTACATGGTTCAAATAATACTAGGTAATCATTAAAAAATAAAATGTATAATCTAAATGTTTCTGGATAGCAGTATAGTAAACAAGGTCAGTGGTTATATGAACTGTCCTGAATTAATCCCGGCATCCTAAACTGGAGTGTGATCCAAACGGTGCACGTCACCTAAAAATATCCGCGTGTGAAAAACGGAGTGGCATGCGTGATTTACGGAGTTGGGTGTTGTCCATTCACAGAGTAAATTTAAATCGAAACTACTCATATGAGTCTCGAATGTTCCTGCAATGTTTTACTTATATGTGCTGAATAATTTCCACTATTGTCTAGCGTAGTAGTTATTGTTCAAATGGGGCTTCTGTGAGCCTAAAATCAACAAATCGCCATGAATAATCTTAATATTTTAAGCGATTTGTTTCAGTGCAGAATATCATGTAAACTAAATAAAAAAGGATTATTTGTGGGCAATTTATTACTTGTATACGTCAGATGTTTGTATATATCCAGTATGCCTATGTACGTTTTACATGGACATGATGTAAAGGCATACTAGTAAACGCTGTATCACTTCCCCTAGATATTAGCAAATAATGTAATGTGTCGCTTGTGTCATATTATCTGTTCAGCTGTTAAAATTAAATCATTGTATAGTAATTCCAATTGACCTACAGTACACCCACTAAACTATTTACCATTGATACTATTTGTCATGGAACTACAATTCCTGTTCTCTACTTACTTTGAATTAATCCTGGTATCCATGCAGCCCGTCAATCCGTGCAGTGTGTCTAATCTGTCATAGTTCACGTGATTATACGATGTAGGCGGCGATACTGTCCCGGTCACGTGTGTAAAAGTAAAGTCCAATTTACAGTGTCATTTTACAACACAACTACTGAAATAATTGTATTCCATAATAGTTCAAGTTTATTTTACACCGCATTTGCTTACGCAAACCATGAACTACGCGATGCAGTGAACGACTTTAACAACATTTTTGTTAAAATAACTGGCATTTAAAAAATTAGTACACTCACGTTGCACTGCAGGGAATATCTAACGAGTTTTGCTTGTACTTGTTCTTTCTTCTACATCTGAATTAATCTAAACATTTGCTAAACAGTTATTTTTGGTAACATATCAATGTGTATTTTCCACAGCCTTACCTCAGTGCAGTAAACCACAGCCATCGTACTCCAACGTGATAACGACTCCATCTCCACTTCATAATCATTCCAATCCTGGAGACAGCATTACATTTAGATGTACAACTGGTTATATATTGAATGGAGTAAGTGTTATAACATGTCAAGATAATGGACAGTGGAATAGTAGTGTACCTACATGTACAGGTGAGATGATAAATATAGCATTACATTTAGATGTACAGCTGGTTATATATTGAATGGAGTAAGTGTTATAACATGTCAAGATGATGGACAGTGGAATAGTAGTGTACCTACATGTACAGGTGAGATGATAAATATAGTATTTACATTTAGATGTACAACTGGTTATATATTGAATGGAGTAAGTGTTATAACATATATTTTTTAATATAAATTACAGACACGTGGACGGTCATATGCAAATATTGTGTAATAACATGCTGATGGTAATGTCATTGCGATTTGTTCACATTATTTACGGTGTAATAAGCTGATACATCTCTTCTTATTGTTTCTTTCAATCCTGGTGTTGTGTATTTTCCACAGCTCTACCTCAGTGCAGTAAACCACAACCAGTGTATTCACACGTGATAACGACTCCATCTCCACTTCCTGATTATTTCAATCCTGGAGACAGGGTTACATTTAGATGTAAAACTGGTTATATATTGAATGAAGTAAGTGTTATAACATGTCAAGATGATGGACAGTGGACTAGTAGTGTACCTACATGTACAGGTGAGATGATAAATATAGCATTTACATTTAGATGTACAATATATTTTATTATTCGTGTAATGTTTCATATATGCACATTACTTTGTTCACCCTGATATGGACATACAGATAGAAAAAAAATAATTAAGATACTTGTTTCCTCGCTGATCTAAAATTATGACAATTCATTGTTTCCGGCAATGCTATTACACTTAAATTCTTAAATTTTCCCAAATCAATTATGCTGTAAAAGAACATAAACACATAATCATCAAACACCAGTATTGCCATTTATACTGTATTCCAGTGCAAACATATGTAACATCATTTTGAGTGTCATGAGTTGATTTCGCATATCAAATATTTTAGTCAAATGTTTCATGTCAAAAGTGTCAATTAGAAATAAAAATGATACCAGCCTTAATATTTAATTAGTATAGTAGTATTAGTATTAGTTAGCCTCAATTAATTTAATTAGTATATCGATTTCCTTTGAAAAGATTGACAAGCACCTTTACTTCAAGTTCACGTCGGCTGATGCAAGAACAAAGTATACAAGTTCCATTCAAATTTTATAGTTGTTATTAACCAATGGGTGTTTCCTCTGACCGCGTTTTACCTGAAACGTGATGTGTGAGGGCATACTTTGACTATGCCAGCTGTTCGGCATGTGTGTGTAGCTTTGTCTATTGGTTATAAGTACCGGTGGATCCAGACAACTCTCGTTTAGCCACTTCCGAACTGCTGATTTTCTGAGAAATCGAAAGTATAAAGCCTGACAAATCTGTGTTTTGTTTGAGTTTGAGCTGTCTAACATGTCTTTTACTGGACAGAATTGTATTACATGCATGTAGTTTCGACGAGTTTAAATTAACCCAACCGCTAACATTGTAATCTGTAGTTCTTTACACAATTAAAATATAATCAGATTTCTTATGTCACACTATCTAATTTATTTTTACCGCCATATTACATTAATGACGTTATTCACAGGTGGAAATTAAAATGGTTATATTTTTGTTTACCCTATAATCGGGCAATTTAGTCCACGTGTGAAATGAATGTACTTAGAACTAAACCTTGCGTTTATTTCCAGCTGTATCCTGTGGTTCACCACCATCATTTCCAAATGCCTACCATACGAATACTGAATATACCTATCCAAATATTGTATACTATCATTGCAATGATGGTTACTATCATAGTGGTGGTGGTACACCATATAAACAATGTCTGGATTCTGCTACATGGTCAGTTGGAATTGAACCACAATGTACAGGTTAGTTTGATTTTAATTCCAATAACATAATAATCACAATATCAAAATGCAGTTTATAATTCCACTGATCTTAACTGAAGCAATTTAATAACTTAATTTACCTAAACCATGTGAATAACATGTATGCATGTGATATACTAGCACTAACTTTATTAAAATGTTTTATTTAAATCACAACCACATCATATATGGTAGCTATATCCACGGTGAGTACTACAATTCTCGACAGAACAGTTGATGTAACTCATTCTACGAGTCATAAAGAGTATTCACTCACGACATTGCAGTCAACTGGTGAGTGAAAAAATAAGGATTATTCGTTCATTGTTTTTGTCATTCATGTATTCTTATAAAATTAATAAATGTATTTAATATTTCTTTCTTTATCCCATTAATTTGTGAAAACGTAATTCAAGCCCCAATAGGTACTTCCTATCATTACAAATATATTCATACTTCAAGCTTGGAATTTACAGGCAGTCACGATAATACTCCCAACCCGAGTGAGTCTACAAGTGGTGGTATGCAGAACCCAAATAGAAAACAACAAATCAAAAAAGGTGATTTTGAAATTGTTATTTACTCTACTGCAATGAATTTATCTGATGAATAATTATAGTTTAAATTGAATCGGAAAACTGACATTTTCACGCCAAGGCAACTAATATAATGTCTTTTTCCACCATATATGTGTGCCTCTCTAACGTTACTTAAATATTATGTGAAATATAATGAGATACAATGACGGTCATTTACTGTATATTGACTCATTGTCCAAGCAATTAATATATTGCGTAAAGTAGATCAATTCATTTATATATTTACTTGTTCCGATAATGTTCATGACATGTGTTGTTTTGTTACAGTGTACACATTTAAAGGCATTTGTCGTTGTGCTACAATGACTTCTGATATTTTAATGTTAAATCCCTTAAACAACAGATCGTATTGTTCTATAACCGTGACAATCTTTTACAGATAATAACATGGCTATGTACATTGGTATAGGCGTTGCTGCATTTGTTACCATGACAATAATCATATTAATTTTGATATCACTGATGCGTTGTCAGCGAAATAGGTAATATCACTATATCATGCTTAGATCCAAATGATATAATTTAACAAAAATACATATCGGTGCTGTATAATCAAAATATCGCATTAGGATATATATTATACCTTGGATAATAATAAGGTTATTATTAAAACATAACTTCATTTCGTTTTACAGAAGTAAAACAAGCAGAGACCATGAACTGGTGGAGGTTGGTGAAAACACCCATGGTACATCTCACAGAAACATTGACGTCACAGAAGGATGTGCAGATGCAGATCATGGTCCAGGTATGAATGAATTTGCATCTGACGACACGGCTGACTATGATGTGATCGACAAAAATTACAAAAAAAATATCACTCCTACCATCGCTGTTATTGAACCTTTCTCTCGAGATATAAATGTAACAGACGATTGGAAACCTGCAACTGGTGTACAGAAACAGCGGGATCCTGGAATTGAAGAAATTAATAATATGGAAGCTGAAGCCACGCTGGCTAACATGTATGCGTGTGTGAATAAACCCAAGACAAGACTGACACGAAATCGTAATGTTGAGGTAGAAAGCGTCTCTGCATACGATGATGTTCAAATAGAACAACTGATTCCTATCAGACTGAGTGTCGATTTTACTGTAAATCCACGTCCAACCTCAATGGAAGTAAGTCGTGTTGGTGATGAAATTCCGACCACGCAAGTAAGTGACATGTATGCATTCGTTGAAAAGCGAAATTCTGCGAGATCTCGTACGATGCCAACAGATAGACCAGTGGATGCCGAGTCAGTTGATGATGATAACAAAGTGCCTGTAGTACCACCTAGGAGAATGTCATTGGTAGAATCTGAAGGGAACAATCAGCAAGAAGGTTTTGTAGAAAATGACATTTACCAGTCAACTGGGGAGTCCGATGTTGATGATGCCGCTTTATCTTCACCAATCCCACTAAAGGATGGAAATAGAGGCGCACGCACCACTGAGAAAACGGCAGGTGATTATGAAGGATTTATAGAGTGTGCTGTTTACCAGTCAGCTGGGGGTGCCGACGATTATGAAAATAACAGCCAACCACAGGAGGGTTTTGTTGACAATGCCATGTATGAATCAATGTAGTCATTGGTGTGCATCAAGTGCTTACATAACTTTTAAAATTGGTTCAACATATGCGTCTTGATTCATGAAGACTAGGTAGCAGTGTTTCACAATTTTTGGCTTCTATTTTTTTAGGATAAGAACGCTTCAACTGCTACTTTCTTGTACATCTTATATTTATGTTCGTCGACGTCATAATAGTCTATGACAGGATAGCTGTTTACAAATCAGTGCAAACAAATAAAACCTTATTTTCCAAATAGATAGTGAGTGAGAAATGGCTCTCTTGAACACATTCCCCAATCAAGTGATTAGGAATATGTCAGTATTTTTTTTTCAAAATAATCAGAATCGAGCGAGTAACAAGTTGTGGCATTTT